CTTCAATCTTATTAGATTATAAGGAAGAAGAACTAGAATTCTTTGCCATTGACATGAGTCGTGGCTCTGTTACCATGTGCAACGTATGAAGAGAAAGAGAGAGTTCTGGAAAACAAGAATTCTTAAGCTAATGAAATTTTCATTTAGCTTAGCTAAACTGAAAGATCACTGCTTTTGTACATTTTTTAGTAAAGGTATAACAGCAGTGTATTGTCTTGCTATATTCTAAAAATTACACTTTAGCCCTTTTTCATTTCTAATATCTGTAAAAACCCCTAGTGTTCTTTATTTTGTTNTGAAATTTTCATTTAGCTTAGCTAAACTGAAAGATCACTGCTTTTGTACATTTTTTAGTAAAGGTATAACAGCAGTGTATTGTCTTGCTATATTCTAAAAATTACACTTTAGCCCTTTTTCATTTCTAATATCTTATAAAAACCCCTAGTGTTCTTTATTTTGTTTCATGGTTGTTTGTTTTGTAATGATGAAGAATGAACACTAAAATCAACTTAAAAACCCATTTCGCTTAAGTTTTAAGAACTTGGTAAATTTAAAACTTTCAATTATAAAAGATGATTGCTTTTATATATATATATATTATTATTATTAAAAGATAAAATAATAAATTTAAATGTTAATAAAGAATGGAATAGGGGAAGGAATCTCATTCTCCCAATATTAAGAAATACTCATTTCTTATCAAATGTATTATATAATTTGAAATAGAAACGAAGAAAGCATCCAATTCTCATTCTCATTTCAGGATTACCTCTTAAATTCCATGAAGCAAACATGAACCTTAAGTTATATTGTTAATATACTTTCAAATTACACATTAAAGCTCAATGTCGATTCAAATGTTTATCAAAGTCATTCGCAGCCTTAATTATGATTTTATCTATCCATAGCTCATTGTGTCAATGCGTCTCATGCAAATAGATCTCAAGTCATAAGACGGTTCAAAAATAGATAAATTGATTCGTATCACAAGAAAATCCAAATTAAAAAATGGGATTCCCAAGCCAGCTTTATTTATCATAATAAATTTAAGCAGTTGAAAATACAATAATATTATTACATCCTATGCATAACATGTATAAATAGGAGACATAACGATTTAATTAGTTAATTAATGCAGGTGTGAGTGCACTCACAAGTGATAATATCCAAACATCTTTGTGAAAGGAGACTTCTGTAATTCTTTGATGCACAAACTCCATCGCAATACTCTTGACTGCAAGCATTAATTTTACCCAAATCTACGTCAAATTCATCTTTGCATATTCCTGGAAGCTCAACCCCATTCAGATTGCCACCTTCAGAGCTCAACCCAATATCTAAATTACATCCACAATTTAAAAAATAAAAAATTTACCCAAAATGCAGCTTTATAAACTTTAAAATCACCACTTTCATATCATTCTAATAACAACTAAAACAATTACTGAGAAATAATTACAGCATGGGTGTCAATGAGAGCAAAAAAAATCTTTAATACGCTAATATAATGTGCCGCGACAATATTTTCTCTCTGTCGCGGCACGTTTCTTTGTTTCTTCACTACCACGGCAATGAGTTCTGGAATTCTGGACTTCAAAAAATGTGAGTGAGCTCAAATCTAAAAACATTAACACAAATATGGTTTGATCAAAATAAAAAATTTAAGCAAAATTAATGTATTTTTTCTTTTTTCAAGTGTGTTCACATTTAACATGAATATCTTGATTGGTTAGGCAAACATGTAGAGAAAGTTTTCTCTGTTTTTAAATCTAGTTTTTATGCATATAATTCATCTAATAAAAAGATTAAACTCATACTATATTCAAGCAAGGAAAGAGAGAGGACCTAAAGAAGAAGCCAGCAGAAGCAAAAACACGAGGGAATGAGAAAAATTCATCTTCATCTTCAATTTCAAGTCCTCTGAATGATGATCAAAGCTGTGAATTTATAGGCCAAATCTTTTCATCAAGGCCTCTATGAGCCGTTCGATTAAGTAATTGATGCCATCACGATGCAGTCAAATCTAGAATCTGTTGGGTCCACAAAACCATTCAAGACAAATTTGTTGCAAAATTTAACCATTGTGGGCACATAATTTACTACTACATAAGGTGGTATGACTCTTTTTTGAAACTTCTAAAATTAAGACCAGGAATTATGATTAAGAAACAATTTGAAGACAAATATGCATCTCACCTATATAGGAATATATAGATCATATACATTTGTTTACTAAATTACAAGGATTTTCTCCCAATTAGATTGTTTATTTTGAATAGGTACACATCAAATATGCAATCAACAGGCTAATAATTGAAAAAGAAAACATATATTATGCATAAATTTATATATTGAATGTTAAAAACCATCGAATTCAAGTTGTATCATATTTCCTTTTGGTTGAACTTCTTCAAGAAGAGCTTATGGTCGAAAGAGCTTATGAAAGTAGAGTTTTTACTAATAAGTTGTTGGTTGTTTGATTGTTGATTATAAAAACTTTTTTTAGTCAGTTGATGTTTGGTTGTATTATTATGAAAACACTTATTTAATAATAAATTACCATAAGGATATATTCTATATTTAATTTATTCAATTTATATCATACACTATCAAAATGTTATTTCATTTTAATGATATGTATACAATATGAAATAATAATAATAATAATAATAATAATTTCTAATGATAATTTAGATAATAAATAGTTCAAATATAATAATGTTTGGTACTTGCATAATAAAATAAAAACTAGAAAGATTAGTTAAAATAGGGCAAACGACATGTTCTCACCCAAGGTTAAGCGATAGATCAATTTCTCACCTTTGATTTCATATATTCCATATTCTCGCTCTTAAATTAACATAAAAAATGTTTAATGAAATGGTAAAAAAGGTAAAATAATTATTGAACCCACCCTATTTCAAACCACACCACAGCCGTCTCACCCCTCTCCTTCCCTCTTTCCTTTCTCTCCCATATTCGGTTAACCACCTAACATCACCCTACCACTATCGCCTCTTCTTTTTCTTCTTCTCCTCTTTTCCTCCTCTCTTTCTTCTTCTCTTCCTCCTACTTAGTTTCTTCTTCCCTCTTCTCACTTCTTGGAATAACTCCGCAACCGCTGGATTTGGCTGCCATAAGGTCATCATGCTATGGCCAAATTTGGCCACAGCGTGATGGACTTATGACAGCCAAAAACTAAAAGCCTCCACCTACTACTATGACCACTCCGCCACTGACCTTTGCCCTTCCAGCCATTGTGCTTCGCCGTAGTCGAGCATTTCCTTGACTGTCATCGCCATCGCTAGGTTTTGGAAAAAATTTGGTTGTTCGATTTTTGTGGGAGATTGAGGACGGATTTTGATTTTTGGTTGATTTGGTAGGGTGTTTGGTTGTTTTTGCTACAGATGATTGGTTTTTTTAGGTTGTTGATGGATTGAAGTTGGTATTTTTGAAGTTTTCTATGACTGTCCCCCAAGTGTTCGAGAAAAGTCCGAGAGATTTACTTTTGCTTTTTGAGGTGACTGGAGAGGGAGAAGGGCTACGGCGCGATTGGGTTTCACAAATGCAACTAGCTGGTGCGATTGGATAAGAGTGTTGGTGCGACGTTGGGTGGTGATGGTGATGGTGGCTAAGTTTTGGGTGGTTTTGTGGTTGAGTTTGTGGTGGTTTGTGGTTGAATTTATGAGTGATTTGATGGTTGTTTGGTGGCGGCAGGACTGACTTTGGGGTTTAGAGGGATTGCAATGGTGGTGGTGGTGGTGGTGGTGGTGGTGAATTTGGGGTTTCGGTCATGATAGTGTTGAAAGGTGGTGGTGGTTGGATGGTGATGGTGGCAGTGAAATCAAAAGTTAACGGTAGTATAGGAATAGCATACTCTACAACAGTTTTAGAAGTCAAAATTCATTAACAGAGTTAATTTAAAGGTGAGAATCCATAATTTACGAAACATGAAACGAAACGAGGGGTGGGAACTTTACATTTCACTTAACCTTGGGTGGGAACATGTCATTCACTCTTTAAAATATTACCAATACTTTGTACACCTATGAAATTGATTTGTTGAATTTCAATCATGTAGGAGAGTGGAGAGGATTGTGTTGAGATGGTGGATATAGATTAAAAAAATAACAATAACAGAGAAAAAGGTTTTATTTCAAAGAAAGGGTATGTGGTGGAATTATAAAAATAATAATTGGATGATATATTTGACAACGATGATATATTTGACATGAGAAAAGTTTTAGAAAAATCTAAAAAGAGCTTATGAGAAAAGTTCAAATTTTGAGCTTCTCCCAAAAACCATAAAATAGTTTTGTTATAATTATATAAACACTTTTGAAATGTAACCAAACAACCTAAAAAAAAAAAAAGTGTTAAGGTAACATACTTATAAGTAGTTGAATTGTTTTGGAATTTTCATCTCCATCGCCTTAGATTCTAATCAATTACGTGTAGCTCCATCTAATACTAAGAGAGGCCTGCACATTCTTTACATATCTAATCCTCATTTTTCAACTCTAGATGTTTCTTTATCAATTCATTAAACATTGAAACATTAAAAGTTATTTGTCAACTTCTTTCTCTAACATGTAGGTATCTTTATTCTACGAAATTTGACATATACAAACTTTTTTTTTTCTTTCATATTAATCCTCGTTTAAGGTTTATTTAATTAACCAGTGGGGCTGATTAGCATCACTCAAAGAAGATTTTTTATCACTTAATCAAATATTAAAACATCTAACTAAAAACATATAATTATAACGGGTTCATCTGGCAAGTCAAACTACACTGTTTCAATGATAATAACGGGTTCATCCCTAAGATTTGGCTTAAGTAACTACACTATTTTTAGAATTTTTTAATAACGTTTTGGTTCCTATGCGACATGAGTAACATTTTAGTCAGTTATAGAGACTAAAACGTTACTAATAGAACCAAAACATTACTAAAGTATTACTTAAGCCAAACCTCATGGACGAAAGGGTTATTTTTCGCTATTTGCACGCAACAGGGACAGCTCGTAGCGGCTGAGCCTTCTGTAAAGTGAGGCCAAACTTGTCTTCCCTGTCCATCTTCTCAATTGTAACACCATCTCCAAGCTTCCAATCAAAGGCGTGAAGAAGTGAACCCAACATCAAATGCAGTATTCTGATTGCCAGTGGCAAACCAGGGCTTATTCGCCGTTCCCCACCAAACAGAATGAGCTCGAAGTTTCTGCCTTTAACATCAACATCCGACCCCAAAAATCTTTCCTGGACAAAACTGTTTGAATTTTCCCATGTGTTTGCGTCTCTGCTAATCGCCCATGCATTGACTAAAACTTGCGCATCCTTCGGACTTTGAAGCCATTGATTTCCACGTCTGTCGAGGCTTTCCGGGGAAGTAAAAAGGGAATCGTTGGGTGCAAGGTCTGAAAGTTTTTTTAATGATTGCTAAGGTAACTGAGTGATGTTTGATTCCTCAACTGGGTTCCCTTTACCTATAGCTTGCTCCAGCTCTAATCGCGCATTTGATAAAGCTTCAGGATTCTGGAGTAGTTCCGTCATTGCCCATTCCAGTGTGTTCGAAGTTGTGTCAGTACCGGCAGCAAATAATAACCCTATTATGCATAAAACTTGCTAATGAAGAAAGAATATGTAACACTCCAATCCACTATCAAGAATTTGTCCGATTTGTATATTGTCGGATTCGGAAGAAATGACTATGGTGGTCACCTGACCAAGTTTAAGACTCATTATGGAGCCATGAACCTTGGCGAACTTTTAGGTTTGACTATCTATAGTCATCAAAAGGAGACAACTATCATTAAAGATCCAAAATGGTTAAAGATATAAAATTGTAGATTGAATGCTCTACCTTCACCTATTCTTGTTTTTTTTAGCCTATCATAATCAAAGGACATCATCAACCTTTCAGATGATACAAAGCTTAAGCTATTTCCCAGTATTTTCTCTTTATCAATATTTTTCACAAATTGCTTGATGTGATGGCAACGGCCCTTGCAAGCCCCCGGCATTGCTCCCAATTTGGGTCCCTAGCCAGATGTGAAGGCAGTTGTCTTCATTTCACTACTCAGTTTTTGGATCAGTAACATTAATCAAACACAACCGTAGCAATTATAATATTGCAAAAGATCAGAACTGAGACAACAATACCTGATTTCAGGTCTGTCACCATTACCTTATCTGGGTGACTTCACTTGGCTGACCATGGCAACTGTCCTATTAAGTATCAATTGCCTCGTTCAAACCAACTGCCAGCTAATATTTGATGTTCAATCAAGCCAATCTTGGATCTTATGTAGTGTTTATCATCTCATACGTTCAATCAAAATCCATAGAGTGTATATTGCAGTGGAAAGATACAGAGTGATGAAAACTCAGGCAAATAATAATAATAATAATAATAATAATTCCTCTGGCAGTATGATTATAAACAAGAACACACACTAGACATGAAAGAGAAAAAGTTCTGCATTACATTTAAATTTAGGTTACAGCACTGTTAATTCATGGAATTTATGTAGCCTTCAAGCACAAAAAACATGTTAAAACTTTAAGAAGGATGCTTGCCCATCGCATCTCAACATGCTAATACAAGCTACGCAAGCAACTATATAGTTCCATACTGAGATTCATCAACAGTCCCCCAAAGACACCTTAAGAACAATAGAAGTAAGTAGATAATGAAAACAAACACATTTAACAATTGACATCATTGAACAAAGAATCCATTAACCAAGTAGCACCAACAAGTGCAAAAAGTTCATCACGAGAAGCAGGAAACAAGAAGAGGTGAAATGGGAAAGTAGCACCAACAAGTGCAAAAAGTTCATCACGAGAAGCAGGAAACAAGAAGAGGTGAAATGGGAGATGATTAGATTACCAAATTGGTTAATTGTTTCAAAATTTGAAATAAAAAAAAAAAAAAAAAAAAAAAATACATACTGCCTTAAGAGAACATCAACAAGTTTATAATTGTAATTATGGACAATTGTGAACAGAGGAACTTGCTTTGTTGAATATCAAACACAATAGAATTCAAGAAAAATATGACAAGGAAAATGCTAACGAAGTAAATTCCTCACATTCCATGTAGAATTTGAAATCAAACTTTTTTCATTGATTAAATGAATAAATTTACTAAAGAGATACAGTACGTCTGTATAGCACTTCGTCATCACTCTCATCTTCCTCGTCTGACACAATCTCACTCCCTGGTAGCTCTAATTTCCCACCCATACAAAATGATGGACCCAAACTCTCAGATTCAATGTAATCACCCTGCAATCTCTCTTCAAATCTCTGGTCACTGCAGTTCAGGAACCAATTCAGCGAACATCTGATCCCCTTGCTTTTTAATCTTTGATATCTGGGTTTGATCCTTGATTCCAAGCTGTAAGTAAAGTACTCCGGAAACTCCACCAGCTCTTTCAGCGGCCTCCCCATCTCACTCTTATAGAAGTAAAAACTGTTCTTCATGAGCTCAACTCGACATGCAACTAACTGTGGACATTTCACAACCATGTTTGCCACATCTGCAGAAGGTATTCCCCGCCTCAAAAGAAACTCAACAGGCTTCAAAATCACATGTTGGTTAAGGCTAACAACTTGCGGCATCTTCTCTACCACACGTGCAAACCCTTCTGGATCAATCTTGAGCTTCAGACTAAAGAAATATTGCTGTGAAGACATCTTAGCTTTCAGAGGCAAACCAAGAATTTGTGGAAACTGTGCTATGACCAGTGCGAGCAATTCCCTCCTGATCCCAAAACTAACCAAACAATCCACATTTGGTTTAACAGTCTCTTCAAGATCATACCCAAGAATATATGCACGCTTCTCCAACATCCTAGCCAAAATCTTAATCGGCAAACCCAAAGAAACCAAATAATCAACAAGTGGCTTAATAACAGTCCCAACTCTCATTCCCAAAAAATATGGATATTGAGTCACCATGGGACCAATATCTCTAGGACTAACACCAATACTAACAAGATAAGCAACAGAAGTACTCATCGTTCCTTCCAGCTTAAACCCTAATAGTTCAGGATACTTCATCAAAACATAACCAAGATCCTGCTTTTCAACATCAAGTCCGCGTAGAAACTTCACAACAGGCATAAGCTCAACAACCACACTCGCGTGCAACACTTGCGGATAATTCTTAACAAATTCACCCAATTTCGACTTCTGAATACCGATTTTCTCTAAATACCCTAACACTGGAATCATATTTTTTCGCATGCTACAACCTAGCATCAACGGGTACTCATTAATATCATCGACAGTCAATCCCAATTTCTGCAAGAACACGACACGTTCCTCCATAACCTCAACAGTAGAGGGCAGCTCAAGACCCTCTAATTCATCAGGAATTATGCCCAAATTCTTGAGATAATCACAAATTTTAACACGGTTAACAAGTTTCTCTTTTTTCCCTTGAACAACACCCCAGGTGACAGAGGGCATCTCATATTCAGGAAAATTGGTTGAAAAATAACAAACCTGAGCAGCCCTAAAAGGGTTTTGGATTAAAGGGTTTCGGGGGCATGGGTTTTGCGGGGTTTTGATTTGAGTGTAAAATACATAAGGGTTTCTCAATATGGTTAAAAGTTTTCTTCTATTAAACAAAGTTGAGCTCATTCTATTCTACTATATGATACACAAAAAATAAATTTCAATCAAATCAAATCAAATTAACGAAACTGGAACCAAACTAAAGAGAAGTACAAAAATGGCTGACCTCGGTGGTGATGTGAGAGATGCTTCAATAGTTCTGCAGAGAAAATGGGTTAAAATAATAATAAGTTTTAAGATTGTTTATGTTATCATTTAATAGAGAGAAACGAAAGGAGTTTAAATGGAGTTTTGGTTTGTCAAATGAAAGCAGCGAAGGGAAATGATGGCTGGTCGATAGTGACGGGCTTAATGGTTGATGACAGCGTCCAGCAAATTCTGTGCTGGGCCTGGACCTTCTAGGCTAAGCCAGGGTTGATTGGGCTGCTGTCAAGACAGCGGCCTGAAGAACTTGGGCTACTGTCGTGACGAAATTAATAACAGTAAAGGGTAAAACAGAACAGTATAAATATATCAGTCCTCTTCTCACAGACGTGAAAGTTATAACTTAACAAAATAATAATAGATTAAATATTTTTTATTATAAAACAACGATAAACATATTTCCACCGGCTGTTATCTATACATTAGAATAGTATGAGCTTTAGTTTACCATTTTTATTATTTTACTCTTTTGCGAGTAATATTATGTTTATATCAACATCTTATGTCATTCTCTTTCATCATGACGTGACGATTGATGTGGTAGCGTTACCTTATATGTCATGTTAGTGAGTTACCACATCATGAACCTTTAAAATTTTTAAAAAATAAAAATAAATTATTTGCCCAAAAATTCAAATACAATTTTTCCTAAATGAGAACTCTAAATCAATTTCAATTTCACTCAAATTTCCTTTCAATCTTGAAAACTCTAGCCACAACCTTCTCAAATTTCCTTTCAAATTTTTGAAAATCAGAACCCTAGCATCTTTGATTTTCTTTCTTGTTTGTGGTTTCATTTTGTTGGCGAGTTTGCATCTAGGTTTGTTAAGGGTGGCGACGGATGTGTTAGCTGATGCGTAATCAATAGAGTTCATAGTTTCAACAGTAAGTTTCAGTATTCATTGACTTTTTCCATGGCTTTATATGCTTTTGACATGATATTATGTTTTTAGAAGAAGATAGTGAAGCAACAATCAAATGTTTGTCTTATAAGTTTTTTTGGGTTTGTTTTGGTTTGGGGGTGATTCAACAAACAAGATTGATGCAATTGTGAATTTGCATCATCGTAATTGCATTGACTGTAAATTTAATTAAAAATTGTTTAATTTTTTTTGGTTTTGCTATGGCCTTTTTATGTCTATTAACGACTTATAATGCATTCCTGAATAAGATACACTAAATTGAGTTTTGTGATATCTTGAATATGGACAGAGTTAATAGACTGATAAAATCTCTTAGCATAATGTTTGGAAATTAATGAATTCTGAAAGGGAAAGAAATTAATGGATTCAACAAAATATAATTAGGTGGATTCTGGTTAGTTTAAGTACTTTGAGACAAAGATTCATGTTAAGTTATCTTCTTATTCAAAGTATACAGAATATATAATCAGCTACAGTTACTATTTTGGTAATTCCATTTGATTATGAGAAAACAACTTAGACTATAGAATATTTTAGTTTTCCCTTGAGACTTATCAACCAAATTTGAGGCTATGTTTATACACTTGGTCTACCAGATTTCTCCAAAACATTTATTCTGAAATATGATGCGTCTGGAGGTGGTTTGGGAGCTGTTCTTATGCAAGAGGGGAGGCCATTAGCCTACTTTAGCCAAGGGCTAAAAGGAAAAAACTTGTTCCTTTCCACCTATGAGAAGGAGCTTTTAGCATTGGTCATGGCAATCCGTAAGTGGAGACATTATCTGCTTGGACACTCGTTTAAGGTGCAGACAGATTAGCAAGCTCTGAAACACTTACTAGAGCAAAGGATAGGTACTCCTACGGTCCTGTCCAACAAAAATAGGTCTCTAAACTACTTGGCTATGACTTCAAAATGGAGTGTAAGAGTGGCAAGACAAATAAAGTCGTAGATGCACTTTCACGACTACAATGTGTAGGTGACCAAAGCTCCACAACTAGGTCCCATATGCAGATTCAAACAATTAGTGGAATACAAGCCACTTGGATGGACGAACTATACAAAGCTTATCTGCATGATCCTCAATTACAAGAGCTGATTCATCATTGCCAACAAGGGGACTTGGATCCAGCCAACTATCAATACCGCAATGGCCTTCTTTTTTATAAAGGGAAGCTGCATCTTAGAACTTTGGTGCCATTTCATCAACAGATCCTGCATCAATTTCACAACAGTCTGTTAGGGGGCCACATGGGAACTCTAAAAGCATACTCTAGAATTAAGAGGGAATTCTACTGCGTGGTTTAAAACGAGATGTTGGAGCTTACTTTCGCGAATGCGATGTTTGCCAACGAAACAAAACAGTGACACTCCATCCAGGGGCGGATCCAGCATCCTTGAGGGTAGGCCTCAAATTTTGAAAAATAAAATTGTAAATATTTATAATTAATGATTTTTATATAAAAAAGGTACAAATATATATGGCCCACAATCAAACTAAATGCTATAATATGTTAATGCAGCAGGCTCACCCATCATAAATATTGCGGCTATGCGCTGGCCCACTAGTTTCATTAGTATAAATGTATAATATATATGCCATATGCGACCAATCTTTATAGGACCACAACTTTTGTATCCCTAATTTTATTAAGTGAGTGCGCCTCTCTTTCTTTTTGTCTTACTGGCTCGGTTGAAGTTACAACTTTTGAAGACTATTTTCTGCTTTATCAGTTTTAGGTATGTATATTACTTATTTTAGTTTATTTTATTTTAGGGTTAAATCATATTTGTTTTTATGGAGGTTTTTTATTCTGATGAAAAAAAGTATAAATCTTGTGAGTTTGTTTTGTATTTGTTTGATTTTGTAATTGGTTGAAAACATTATTATTAATTTGTGACTTTAGATATTACAAATACATTTATAAAATTAATTTTTTATATAAATAGAGGACTACTTGATTTGCACCAATCCTTAATATATTAATAATGATATTTTTATTATTTTATAATGTGATTAGTTGACTAAGTATGCTCTAATAGTAATTGAATTAAATCTAGTTGATCTATGCCAATAATTTAAATAAGCCAAAAAATTGATTAGCAAATTATGTAAGTTTTTAAATTTCACTAAAATGATTTTAAATATAAGAAAATTAACACAATAAAATGATTAAGTAATTGCTAAAATAATCTTTTAATTAGATCTAATTGTTACATCTAAAAAAGTGATAAGTTTGTCCTTGTAATTTTATTAATTAAAGTTTCATCGGTCTTTCTTTACATATATCATATTATCTTTTTTTTATTTGATAGCTATGATATCCAATTATTTCAAGAGATTAAAGAAAATTCCAGCAGAAATTGTTGATGGAGACTCTATTGATATTGAGGTTAATCAAATCCCATTAGAAGAAGAAGCCCCACATCAGCAACAACAACACCAAGTAAAAGAAGCTCAACCTTCGGTCTGGATGTTCAATTTAGATGAGCTTGAACTGATCCAGGATTGAGGATACTAATTAAAGAGATTTGTTGTACTGACAAGCAAAAGAAGGAAGTTCGAAGAGCATACTTGTTGAAAGGTTTTTACCAACCTAAAGATCATAACTTTCCTTTCACTCTTTTCAGAGATAAAAAGCGTAGGTTTACACTAGAGTGGTACAAAGAAGGTCCAAGTTAAATAGAATATAGTGTGGCAAAAGATTGCATCTTTTGTTTAAATTGTTATCTTTTCAAAACTGATTATGGTGACCAAGCAGGTGGTGAAGTTTTTGTGAGTAAGGGATTTAATAATTTGAAAGATAAAGCGAAAGTGAAAAAACATGTTAGAGATTATTCTAGTACTCATAACCAATGTCATGCCAAGTGTGTTGATTTGATAAACCAAAGGCAACACATCGATGTAAATCTTGCTTGTGTTTCGAAAAATGCCAAATTGGACTATCGCATTCGTTTGAATGCATCAATTGATTGCATTAGATTTATTTTATATCAAGGATTGGCATTTCGTGGTCATGACGAGTCGGTTGAATCTTGAAAATCAAGGTAACTTTATGAAACTATTGAAGTTTCTATCCAATCATAATGACGACATAAAAAAAGTTATGCTAGAAAATGCTTCGAAAAACCGTCAAATGATGGCCCCCAACATCCAAAGGGAAATAACTAGTGTTTGTGCTCATTTGACAACCAAGAAAATTATTATAGAAATTGTGAGAGATAAACAACCATTCTCTTTACTAGTTGATGAATCTCGTGATGTGGCAGTGAAAGAACAAATGGCTATTGTTTTTCGCTATGTGGACAAAATAGGTTGTGTTATTGAACGTTTTATCGAGGTTGTGCATGTTAAGAATACTTCAGCAAAGTCTTTGAAAATTGCAATAGATGCTTTTTTTTTAAAGCATGGATTGAGTTTGACAAGTTTACAGAGGCAAGGTTACGATGGAGCAAGCAATATGAGAGGTGAGTTCAATGGTTTGAAGACTTTGATATTGAGAGAAAATAAATCAGCTTTCTACATTCATTGTTTCTCTCATCAATTCCAACTGGCGCTAGTCAAAGTTGTAAGTAACCATTCGGCATTGGGTGAATTTTTTAATCTCTTTCTATGTTATCAAACACTATAGCGACATCTTGTAAGCGCAGAGATCTTATACGTGATAAACAATATGAAAATGTGATATCTTTGATTTCTAATGGTGATCTTCATATGGGACGAGGTTTGAATCAAGAATGCACTATTAAATGACCAGGAGATACACCTTGAGGTTCACATATAGGGACAATTCATAGTGTCATAAATTTATTTTCTTCTATTGTTGATGTGCTTAGGGTGATTGAGATTGAAGGAGACGATTGGCAAAACAAAAGTCAAGCAAGGAGTTTATTAGGAATTATGGAGAATTTTGAATTCGTCTTTTTGTTATTCTTAATGAAAAGAGTATTGGGAATCACAAATGAACCGTCACAAGCATTACAAAGAAAAGATCGGGATCTTTTTAATGCCATACAATTTATACAAATTTCGAAGCGTCAATTGCATAAAATGAGAAATGAAGACACTGGCTTTGACATATTGTTAAAAGAAGCTTCTGATATGTGCAAAGATAATGACATACCAATCTTGGAGAATATGGAAGAAAACTTTGGGAGGACAAAATGGGGGATTGCGCCAATTACGAATAAACATCATTTTAAGACGGAATTGATGTATACAGTTTTGGATAACATTCAAGAAGAACTCAATAATCGTTTTAATGAAGTAAATATGAGGTTGCTTCAATGTATGTCATCTCTTGATCCAAGTAACTCTTTTGTTGCATTTAACAAAGATAGATTACTTGAATTTGCAAAGTTCTATCCTGCCGATTTTCCTCAACACGATATTTGGTTGCTCGATGATCAACTTGAAAACTATTATGAGGATGTTAGCACCAATGCCAATTTCACTCATGTCGAAGGGATTGCCGACCTTGCTAAAGAAATGGTTGAGTTTGAGAAGGATATTGCTTACAACAAAGTTTTCTTGTTTATTAAATTAGCATTGGTTTTGCCTGTGGCTACTGCAACAGTTGAAAGGGTGCTCTCTGCAATGAATTTTGTGAAAAATAGTTTGTGTAATCGAATGGGAGACGACTGGATGAGCAATTGCTTGGTAGTTTACATTGAAAATGAAGTTTTTGCTACAATTGAAAATGAAGATATCATTGAACACTTTCAGAATATATCGAAGCGAAAAATCATGTTAAATTGAAGATCTTCAAGTATACCATTCTAACTTGCTTTCATATTTAAACAATCAATATTCATATATTCAAATCTTCAGGTACACTATTCTAACTTGATTTTTTGGTCAATACACAGAGGATGTGTGGATCTTTAATCTAGACAGTTGAGTTTTGATATTAACGTCTAGATTTGGAGTTATACAGCATGAAGTTTGACTGCTTCTCTGGTGATTTTAATCTATCTTTTTGTAAACTTTTATGTATTTTACTTGTAATATAGTTGTGATTGACCTCTAAATTTGTGTGGAATATTTTTGGTGGATTGTGGTTGCTGTAAACTCTTTTGCTTAAGGTTTGGTGGTTTTTTTAAAGTTTTCACTAGTTGTTTGGTAAACAATGGCTAAGTCGTGGAGGCCCCCCTTGGGCAAAAATCCTGGCTCCGCCACTGACTCCATCCAATGGGGCTCCTCCAACCTCTGCCGATTCTTGCTCAGAATTGGACTCCCATCAGCATGGATTTTATTGACGGATTTCCCCCCTCTGGAGGCCGTAGTGTTATCATGGTTGTAATTGACAGTTGAGCAAATATGCTCACTTTATGTCTCTTTTGCATCCTTATACTACTGCAATTGTGGCCACAGTATTCATGCAACACATCTTCAAACTACATGGACTACCCTAATCAATAGTCAGTGACCGAGATCCAGTTTTCACAAGTCAATTTTGGAGAGAGTTTTTTCGAATTTGTGGCACTGAACTTCTCCTAAGCTCCGCATATCATTCGCAAACTGATGGACATACAGAGATGATGAACCAGGGTCTAGAATGTTACCTTCATTGCTTCTCGGGAGATAGACCAAAGGATTGGGCACGTTGGCTTCCCTTGGTAGAATATTCTTACAACACTTTTGTTCATACTTCGACCTACGTTACTCCTTTTGAAGCGATGTGTGGGTTTCCTCCACCTCAAATGCTTCCTTTTGAACCAGGACCTACTTGTGTGCAAGCTGTTGAAGAGGAACTACGGAATCGAGATTTTATTATGACTCTGCTTCGAGAAAATTTGCAAGATGCCCAAGCCAAAATGAAAGTTTTTGCTAATAAAAAGAGAACTAAAATAGAATTTGCAGTGGGTGATTGGGTTTATCTACGATTGCGACCATATTGCCAAATGTCAGTGGTGATGCGAAGAAATCTCAAACTTTCTCCTCGCTATTATAGACCATTCTAGATGCTACAAAGAATGGGAAATGTTGCTTATAAGCTGAATTTACCGGAAGAATCTCAAATATATCCAGTCTTTCATGTTTCATGCCTCAAGAAGAAGCTAGGCCCTAGTGTTGAACTATCCCTAAATTTGCCTCTTTTTGCTGCAAATGGAACCTTAGCACCAAAGCCTGACAAAGTTTTGCAAAGGCAATTGAAGGAAAAGGGGAATCAAGCTAGAGTGGAAGTTTTAGTTCAGTGGAAGGGAACACAACCTAAAGATGCTACATGGGAGGATCTTGACGAAATAAAGAGAAATTTTCCTAACCTTGAAGGCAAGGTCTTCTGAAGAGGGAGAATGTGTTATGAGTTGTTGTAGCTGTAGTGTGTTATGAGCTGCAGTTGTCTAAACAAGTATTTTAATTCTTGTCTTGTCTAAGTAGGGCCTTACTATTTTAATTATTATTTTATTTAAGTTAGTCAGTTGTAGGCTTAGTCAAAAGCCTGGTAGTCAGTTGTAGGCTTGGTCAAAAGCCTGGTCTTTAGGGTAGAGGAGTACGTGGGACCATGTTCCTTTAATTTAGCAAGAGGTCAAGAGTCAGTTTTGGGTTCAGTTAATTTTAATTTGTATTTAAATGGTATTTGCTATTAATCCAGATCACGATTTTTCATCTCAAAAGTTACTAGTATTGGAGGTGGTTGGCTCCTCGAATTGCCAAAGCTCTTTTATTTTTATTTTTGTTTAACAGAGTTAACACGAAACTATGAACTCTATTGATTATGCATTAGCTAGCACAATTGTCGCCACCTCCACAAACCTAGATGCAAACTAGCCAACAAAACCAAACCACAAACAAGAAAAGAAAATCAGAGATACCAAGGTTCTGATTTTCTAAAATTTGAAAGGAAATTTGAGAAGGTGGTGACTAGGGTTTTCAAGATTGAAAGGAAAATTGAGGGGAATCGAAATTGATTAAGGGTTCTCATTTAGGATAAATTGTATTCAAATTTTTGGGCAAGTAAAATTTATTTTTATTTTTTAAAATTTTTTGGGGTTCATGATGTGGCAACTAGCTGACATGGCATATGAGGTGGTGCCTCCACATTAGTCGCCACATCATGATGGAAAAGAATGGTGTAAGATGTTGATGTAAACGTAATATTACTCATTTGCAAAAGCCAAGTAAGCAACAGAATAATTTTAATAATAAATCATAATATATAATTTTTAATTACATTTTTTACCCTTATTTAATAAAAAGATGGGGGCTAATATATATATAGTGATAGAAATAACAGCAACTTGTTTGTTTGGAATTTGGAACACCAAACAAACATGAGAGTAGTAAATTAAGAGAGTAGTCATAAAAGCTTGGAAGCTACATGCAAATGCAATAAAGGATGGTTCAAGTTCATTTAAGGCTAAACCCTAAGAACCTCACTCTTCACGTTTATGTCAGCCCTTCCTCAATTCTCTCGCTCCCCGTCTCTCTACTCGTGATACAACCTCTCCTCTTCAAACCTTTCATTTCAAATTTTACAACGTTAATCTCCCTTGTGTATTGTATACAGTGAGAGTGTGAAGAGAAATATTTAGAATAATAAATGCAGTGCACTTTGAAGTTTTAAAGTTCCAAAAAAGAAGGGGTTTGAGGAAGAGTGGGCAAAACATGTGAAAACCTTTGAAAAGAAAGCCGTGGATCATGTGATAGTGTTTCAGCTGTACCTTCCTTCTACATTTATAACCCTCACTCTCACTTTCTTTATATATACATACACTTTTCAATCTTCTTCTTCAGTCATCACCTTCACCCAAAAAACACTAACCCTACTTCTCATACCCTTTAGTTTTGATAATATATATCTATAGCAACATCAATTATCATAGAAAAGATGATGAAGCTTTTTCCAAATGGAGCTGCTAGTTCTTTGGTTCTAGTGGTGCTCTTCATGTTGCTTACTATTGGTGGGAGCCTCCGTTTGTCGCCTCATCATTGTAAATTTCACTTCATTTTTTCTCATGTTTTTGTTTGTATAATATGTTCATTATTATTATTTTTTTTTTTTTTTTTAATTTTTATATGAAGAAACACTATGGGCCCTTGGCCCGGCCTAATTAGATTCAAGCCCTGTTTCGGGTTTTCATTTTTTTTTTTTTTTAATGTGGGGAGATATATGTTTTTGTGGAAGTGACATTAATGTCCTTTACGCTCAAATATATCCTTTTTCTAAAAGAACAAAAATCATTACAAATTTCTTTCAATTTTAGTAGACCACTGAGTTAAGGGTGTTATAATATTTTTAATTTCAAATTACTAAAATACCCTTTTAAGTACAAATTATGTAATTACTAGAAAAAAAAATTATTTTTATTTTATATAATCAATTTATTTTTTCACATTTTGGGTCAAGCCGGGTATGAGTCTAGTATGGACCATGAGCCCAACATATCAAATTTTTATAACTTTTAGACTTGTAGTTTAGGTCTGGCCTAATCTCTTTTACCAAGCCAAGCTAATTGGGCTTGGAACAGGTTTAGGTCCAACCCATCAAGTTTCCATGACCATCATCATTCTTTATTATTTGCTCTTCAATTAAAAAAAAAAAAAAAAAATGTCACAGCCATGTCTTCAAAGACATAAATTTTTTAGGTTATTACAATGAATTCTTAATTACTTCAAAATTTATGTTTGTTTTGCAAGATATTACTGCCACCTCCCATGAAATGGCTGCAGCCTCCACATATGATGATCATCAAGCCCACGTAAACCATCAGGTTCGAACTTCCGATTAATCTCAGTTCAGATACAAACATTGTATCTCAACTTTGTAAATGTAACATTATTCTTAAATGAGGCGCGTCAACTAATAGTATTATGCTCGTATTTTGGATTTCAGGAAAGAGCGACAGAGGGAATAGGAATGGAAGTGCACCCAACAGGGTCAAGCTTGCCAGATTGTTCCCATGCCTGTGGACCTTGTTTTCCATGCAAGAGAGTTATGGTCAGCTTCAAGTGCTCCGTTGCAGAATCTTGCCCTATTGTTTACAGATGCATGTGTAAAGGGAAATACTACCATGTTCCCTCCAATTAATATAATTGAATCAACACTTTGATCATCATGAATTTATGGGCATCCATTTATTTCAATTTCCAATGAGAAATTTCACCAAAAAGTTTGTTGTATATAGCCGAGTGTTGAGTTTTGTTTCTGGGTTTCAAGTAGAACTTTAATTTTGTTGCTTTAGAGTTACTAGAATTTGAGTTATTTCAACTATCTAAAAGAGTAATTTTTATTTTATGATACCAAATCAAATGTTACAAAATAAGGCATTAGATCTACCAAGATAACATTTTTATGTTAGTATAATCTAAAACCCATTATTAGATATCAATTTTTTTTGACTAAATTAATTGTTTATCATTCAAATGATGAAAACTTTTAATATGGTGATATTTTAACTTAATTTCATAGATCTAATCATTTTAAAATTAACCACCACTTAGTGTTATTGAAAATGACAAGAGACAAAATAAATAAATATAGAGCATGGTTGAAAGGATAATAATTTGTATTTAAATGCAAGTTGGAATGTAAAAGCATATTTAATGTTGTTGACATTCAACTAATCACTAATGATTTTTTACATTAATCTCTACCCATTAGGTAAGATTTGCTATAATTATAACATATTTGTTTTTCTGAATGGGAGCCTCCCACTACTTCATTTTTAAATTTTTCAACAAGTTTTATTTCCAATTTTCAAAATTATTGTAAGGGTAACACTTAATTCTCCGTAATGCTACCTCTTATTTAGATTATTAGATCAACTTTTTATGGGTTTCTTTACCTTTCTAAGGATGATCCAATAGGGTAATGATACAATATTTTGGTTGGTAATTCAACGGTTTTTCAAAAAATCAAATGATTCATATGAGAAGGTCATAATACAATATTTTTGTATGTCAATACTATATTATTCTTATATGAATCTTCAAAATTGATGTAAGGGTCATAATGGGTATCAGGATAACACGACCTCAAGTATGTAATTACTCTTTTAAAGATGATTCAACGAATCATAAATACAGCATTCAAAGAGAACATTTTCGTATCAACCGTTAAAATTTTTAGGAAAAATCCATGGTAGAGACAATAATGTTTACGATCTCTTAAATAAGCTATACACACTTGAGGCAATGCTACCATGAGTAACTTTTATCATATTTTTCTTATTGTAAAGGTTTTTTTTAGGTCCATCAAAGTGTCATGTACTAAGACATTGAATACCCAATTATGAAACCAAAATTTCTCAACATTTTTTTACTTAAATTTCTCCAAGCTTCCACCGCCATACGTGATATGTCAACCAATTTTAACATATGGAAAATATTTTTTTATTTCAAAGATTAAAATTATGAGTAGTTGAGAATTAGTGTCAAAATCAAAAACAAAATATGCTTCACATTTGGTGGCTGATGAGTACCTCTCAATCTCATTACAGTTTTCTTTTTAACCTTTTTTGTTGTTTGCCGTACAAACCAGCCTTCCCACTCTTGTTCCTTTTCAAAGTCTCCTCTCTTGCAGGCCCCCAAATGTTGCCACATCATGAAATTGAAACTGAAATTAAACTGGATTTGACTTGTTTTCATGATAAATGAAAATCTCTAGATATTTTTGTTTTCAAAGAAATAGGAATATCAAACCTAACATTCTAAACCCAAAAATGTAAAACCATTTTATTGATGAAATATCACCATCCTTGACTCCTTTTGCTGACTTACCAACTCTTTTTTTTTTTTTTTTTTGACTTACATGCTTTAATTTCAATATGCAAATTGTGTGAAAGAAGAAAAATAAAAGATCCAATTTTGTACAGATAATATCGGTTAATCATCACCCTGAATAAATTTTTTACGCTACAAATAAAGTCAAGTATATATAGCTTCATTCTGTAATCATGACATCTTAATAATTTTCAAAAGACATATATAATATCCGAATATTAATAAAGATTTACTCACAACCCAATCTTACAAATTTTCTCTCATAATGTCGATGTGGCAGTTCGCAATAGGTCTCACCTGTCTAATTGCAAGATAACCGATTGTAAACTATCATGTCGGAGTTGTGAGAGAAAGTTTGTAAGATTAGGTTATAAATGTAGTATTGTCCATCCAATATACATTTAATATTCATATATGTCTGAACATTTCTTCAATCTTGGAAGAAAAGCCAAATGGAAGGCTAAAATTCAGAAAAAGATGGGTCGGAAATAAAATGAATTCAAATAATAAAAAAAAAATGCCATTTAAAAGATAAGATAATTTAAAATCTATTTGTCTTTTACTCTAAATTGGAGGGAATCTTTGAAGTAGTAACTCATACTCATATTGACCACTTTCAGAATATATCGAAGCGAAAAATCATGTTAAATTGAAGATCTTCAAGTATACCATTCTAACTTGCTTTCATATTTAAACAATCAATATTCATATATTCAAATCTTCAGGTACACTATTCTAACTTGATTTTTTGGTCAATACACAGGTGTGGATCTTTAATCTAGACAGTTGAGTTTTGATATTAACGTCTAGATTTGGAGTTATACAGCATGAAGTTTGACTGCTTCTCTGGTGATTTTAATCTATCTTTTTGTAAACTTTTATGTATTTTACTTGTAATATAGTTGTTGATGACCTCTAAATTTGTGTGGAATATTTTTGGTGGATTGTGGTTGCTGTAAACTCTTTTGCTTAAGGTTTGGTGGTTTTTTTAAAGTTTTCACTAGTTGTTGGTAAACAATGGCTAGTCGTGGAGGCCCCCCTTGGGCAAAAATCCTGGCTCCGCCACTGACTCCATCCAATGGGGCTCCTCCACCCCTGCCGATTCTTGCTCAGAATTGGACTCCCATCACATGGATTTTATTGACGGATTTCCCCCCTCGGGAGGCCGTATGTTATCATGGTTGTAATTGCAGTTGAGCAATATGCTCACTTTATGTCTCTTTTGCATCCTTATACTACTGCAATTGTGGCCACAGTATTCATGCAACACATCTTCAAACTACATGGACTACCCTAATCAATAGTCAGTGACCGAGATCCAGTTTTCACAAGTCAATTTTGAGAAGTTTTTTCGAATTTGTGGCACTGAACTTCTCCTAAGCTCCGCATATCATTCGAAACTGATGGACATACAGAGTGATGAACCGGTCTAGAATGTTCCTTCATTGCTTCTCGGGAGATAGACAAAGATGGGCACGTTGGCTTCCCTTGGTAAAATATCTTATAACACTTTTGTTCATACTTCGACCTACGTTACTCCTTTTGAAGCGATGTGTGGGTTTCCTCCACCTCAAATGCTTCCTTTTGAACAGACCTACTGTGTGCAACTGTGAAGAAGACAACGGAGATTTTATTATGACTCTGCTTCGAGAAATTTGCAAGATGCCCAAGCAAAAATGAAAGTTTTTGCTAATAAAAAGAGAACTAAATAGAATTTGCAGTGGTGATTGGGTTATCTACGATTGCGACCAATCGCCAAATGTCATGGTGATGCGAAGAAATCTCAAACTTTCTCCTCGCTATTATGCATCATTCTTGCTACAAAGAATGGGAATATTGCTTATAAGCTGAATTTACCGGAAGAATCCGAATATATCCAGTCTTTCATGTTTCATGCTCAAGAAGAAGCAGGCCCTAGTGTTGAACATCCCTAAATTTGCCTCTTTTGGTCGCAAATGGAACCTTAGCACCAAAGCCTGACAGTTTTGCAAAGGCATTGAAGGAAGGGGAATCAGCTAGAGTGGAAGTTTTAGTTCAGTGGAAGGAACACAACCTGAAGATGCTACATGGGAGATCTTGACGAATAAAGAGAAATTTTCCTAACCTTGAAGGCAAGGTCTTCTGAAGAGGAGAATGTGTTATGATCGTTGTAGCTGTAGTGTGTTTTGAGTTGCAGTTGTCTAAACAAGTATTTTAATTCTTGTCTTGTCTAAGTAGGGTCTTACTATTTTAATTATTATTTATTTAAGTTAGTCAGTTGTAGTCTTAGTCAAAAGCCTGGTATCAGTTGTAGGCTTAGTCAAAGCCTGGTCTTTAGTAGAGGAGTACGTGGGACCATGTTCCTTTAATTAGCAAGAGGTCAAGAGTCGTTTTGGGTTCAGTTAATTTTAGTTTGTATTTAATGGTATTGCTATCAATCCAAGATCACGATTTTTCATCTCAAAAGTTACCAGTATGGGAGGTGTGACTCCTCGAATTGCCAAAGCTCTTTTATTTTTATTTTTGTTTAACAGAGTTACACGAAACTATGAACTCTATTGATTATGCATTAGCTACACAATCGTCGCCACCTCCACAACCTAGATGCAAACTAGCCAACAAAACCAAACCACAAACAAGAAAGAAAAATCAAGATCCAAGGTTCATTTTCTAAAATTTGAAAGGAATTTGAGAAGGTGGTGCCTAGGGTTTTCAGATGAGAAGAATTTGAGGGAAATCGAAATTGACTAAGGGTTCTCATTTAGGAAAAATTTTATTCAATTTTTGGGCAAGTAAAATTTATTTTTATTTTTAAAAATTTTTCGGGTTCATGATGTGGCAACTAGCTGACATGGCATGTATGAGGTGGTGCCTCCCCATTAGTCGCCACATCATGATGGAAAAGAATGGTGTAAGATGTTGATATAAACGTAATATTATCATTTGCAAAACCAAGTAAGCAACAGAATAATTTTTAATAATATATAATTTTTAATTACATTTTTTACCCTTATTAAAAAAAGATGGGGCTAATATATAGATGTGATAGAAATAACAGCAACTTGTTTGTTTGGAATTTGGAACACCAAACAAACATGAGAGTAGTAAATAAGAGAGTATTCATAAAGCTTGGAAGCTACATGCAAATGCAATAAAGGATGTTTCAAGTTCATTTAAGGCTAAACCCTAAGAACCTCACTCTTCACGTTTATGTCAGCCCTTCCTCAATTCTCTCGCTCCCCGTCTCTCTACTCGTGATACAACCTCTCCTCTTCAAACCTTTCATTTCAAATTTTACAACGTTAATCTCCCTTGTGTATTGTATACAGTGAGAGTGTGAAGAAATATTTAGAATAATAATGCAGTGCACTTTTAAGTTTTAAATTTCCAAAAAAGTAGGGGTTTGAGGAAGAGTGGGCAAAACATGTGAAACCTTTGAAAAG